AGGTGCAATAGTTGCTGAGCTCGTCCTCCTGAACTTGATCCATAAGTGCAGATTCCATAGGTGGAAAGTATGTTTGTGGCCAAGACCTTTGAGGACGCCAGCTGGAGAACTGGAGTGAGTTGGGACGTAGGAAACTCGTTGCCCCCTTGCATGCCATGTCTCCCTCTCTCGGCCTGCGATAGCAAAGAGGACACGTGAAGTTCCACTCATCTTCCGACTCCAAGCCTGTTTGAAAATAATCACACAACCTCGTCCCACTTCTCCCTTGTCTTTGCTCATTAGCCAGAGTGCAGTCTACTCATTACCTCCCTTTTTTAGGAGCAGCTTTACTCCTTGGAAGCACTTCCGAAGAGAAATCATATTTCCTTGGTTTTCCTGCTTCTCAGAGCTGGGTGCACACTGCATGAGAACATATTTGCTGAACACCATCCAAAGCAGCAAATTGAGATTCTTTGATTTGGGGAAGAACTTTGGGAGGAACCTTTCAGTAATTGGCATGAGATAAGAGAGAACCTAGTCCAAGCCCATGTGGGGCTGGCAGCAGGGAGGATCAGTTCAGAGAGAGGTGAGTGTACAGGTTGCTTTTCTTTGTCGTCTGTCTGTTTCAGCAGAGGCTCCAGAGCTGGCTTGGGCTGTCTGGCTGGAATCTGCTTAGACTAGCTCCATGGCACTGCAGAGAGAGTTCTCAGCCTGATTCAATATTGACTTAACTATCCTGAGACCACTGCCCTCCCTGCCCCCCTGCTGGTAGCTTGAGAATGCCCTCTCTCCTGATGCCAACCTCCCTTGGGGCTTTGAGTAACCATTTACCTGGTTCCTATTAGGGCTTGAGCCTGCTTGACTGCTTGGGCCTTCATTTCTGTAAGGAAAAAGTAGTACTGTCTCCCATCTCTATCATTGAGGTCAAGGGGGAAAGATGAGCTGAGACCTCCTTAAAGCAAGGTTTGAATTAGACCTTAAAACATGAGAAGGAACTTCTCAACAGGAGAACAGGTAGCCTAGAGTGATGTGGAGTCTGTTTTGAAGAGCAGCTTTTTAAAAAATCATTATTAAAGGTATATGTGTACTTGGTAACAAATCCAGTGGTACATGAGAGTTTATGACGAAAAGTAACAGTCCCTTTCCATTCATCTCTTCTACTCCTTTAGAGTTAACCTCTTAATTAGCTCAGTGTTCACTTCTGAAGGTTATTGCCAGAGCTTTAGATAAAATGCTTGTGTCTCTATTTCTTGATTTATTAGTTGTTACAAAGAGGATTAAGCTCTAAGATTTATACCTCTTGTCTATATGATTATGTCATTTTCATTTAAGGAAGTGATTATGTCATTTTTTAATTTCATTATTAAGGAAACCTTAAATAACATATTTGAACCTCCCTTTCTTTTCCATTAACAATTTTTAAAGAATTTTTATGAGTTTGAGCCAAACTGATGACATACACTAGGGAGCAAGATATCAGATGCTCCCTCTTTTCCATTAACTTTTTAAAAAATGTTTTTAATGATTTTAGAGATGGAGGAAGGGAGAGAGAGAGAAATAGAAATAGAAAGGTTGTTGCTCAACCACTGACCCATGCCGGCTGGGCTCCATTAACTCTAACAGTCTCTCTTAACTACCCATCTTGTGGGATGAAGATACTGGCTCTGCTTTCCCTTTTTCCAATTCATCTGATCCATCTCAAAGGAGGAGGGAAGTTGATCTCACCTATCTGTTTGGAGACAGAGCACGAAATCAGATGATCTTTTAAAGGCCATTCCATGAAAATACAGAGACATATAAAAACATGGGGATTGTTCTGAACCAATTCATATTTATTTAGCCCATGGAAAAATATTTGAAGAAGGGAATGGTGATGAACTGAGTGAGGGGATGGATTCAGGGCTCTTTACCATCCTGTCCTAGCAGAGACCAGTTCAGTAAATCCTTTAATGGAGGCCAGTGGAGGGTTGTTTGCATAGAATCTTTTGAGGTGAAGAGAAGTGGAAAGCCAAGTTAAGTGATAACACTTCCTCACCCCAGGGTCCTCTGGAGACATATACTTAAATGCTCAGTCACACAGAACACATGCCTGTAACCCCTCTGCCCTCTTCCGCTGCTCTGCTCTGAAAAACCCTGATGCTCAGATGAGGATTCCCGACATTGCCCAGACTTCGCTGTGGAACCCAGCCGTTCACTCGCCTTTCTGAGAAGCCAGCTGCTGCCGGGTCAGGGGAGGCCTCTTCGATTCCCTCCCAGTGTCACTGGAAGGCCAGGTCAGGCACCTAGTGCAACATGTGGAGCCTCCTGCGTCTGATGTCATTGAGAGCCAGGGGAGCCCTTTGATGTTAAAGGTTTGGGTTTTCCGCTTTCAATTTTTACTTATTCTCTGGCTTGTAAGGAGAAGGGTGCTGATTGCAGGACCCGTTTCTTCCTTTTTCCTTTCACTTTCTAGTCCTTTCACTTTAGAATGGTTACTTATCAATGCTGGTTTTTCTTTGCATTTGAAAGTGAAAGAATTGATACTGAGGACCATATCTGGATTTAGATTTTAGAAAACACCTCTCCTATTTTTTATTGTCTACATTTAACAAAAACAACCTACATTCCCTTCAGTACTTCCTCCCCCCTATGTTTGCTTCAGATGCAGGCTCCGAGAGGCCAGGAGGGAGGCCCAGCTTGGCAGTTTCCAGTGCAGAGCTGCTTCTATAGGAGAGAAGTCTGGTTTTCCTGCGCCTCTTGACATCATCTGGTTCCTTGGGGAGTAACAGCTGCCAAATGGGGTTTCTGTTCAGTGGGAAGGTCCCCTGAATACTCTCATAGGGGATTCCTAGCTGAGTCCCAGGGTGAAAGAAATGATGTTATCCTTACCTCTTTTACTGGTGCCAGTAATAATCCCCACTGTGATCAATCGGAGCAGACAACTACTGCATTTCCTAGTGAGATCTGAGACGCTGTATGTGGGAGAATGTCTTAACTTCATTTTCTTTGGAAGTTTTGAAATGGGGACCTTATGAGGTGTTGGTGACTTGAAAGTCTCTGGAGTAGAGAAAAGGGGAAAGATGTGCCAAGCATAGAGATTGAGAAGCAAAAGGGTTGTTTGCATTAAACAACTGAAGCTGTCATGTGAGTTTCTAAGTAGACCTAAAAGGTAGTGGTCCCAGTTGAATTAGAATGACCTTCTGGTGCAGAATGCCCTATAGAGGTGTGGCAGGGGATGATTAAAGCTTTCTTCTTATTATTCCTGTGCAACCGTAGTTGCGAGTAGAGACAGATCCATGCAGGCAGCCATGCTGGTTCTACTGCTCCGAAGGCACTGCATAATTTGGGGGGAGTATAGTGAAAGAGTTGCCACCTTTTTTACCAGTGACAAACTCAGTCTGCATCAGGATATTAATTTGGAGGTGAACTTCTTACTTGACAGAGTTGGGAGAAAAATAAACTGAAGTAGCCTTTTTTGGTGATCTCTGAGAACAGAAGAGTTCCCTCTCTGCCTTCCTGTGAGATTTTAATGCTGATTGCTGGGAGACAGGGAGCGAGACTGCATAATATTGGGCAGATGAAAGTAACCTTGACTCTTAACATGTTAGAGGTGTCGGAAGGGGCAGTGGAAAATGGGGCTTTCCAGAGTGACTAGTGCATCTGTATCTGGAGCCTCCTTCCACCTCCACAAAGTATATGCACCCAGGTTCACTAGGGTCAAAGGTGATGCCACTATTAGTTGTAAATTACCTGCACTCCAGCTCTACAGCAGCCTCTGCCTTTCTGTTGCCCATATCCTTGAGCATGTTTTAGATTCTCTCTATCTGCATTTTTGTGAGGAGGCCTCTGAGCTGACTACAATCATACTCTTGAGCTGGGTTGATGTGACATTAACAGCGTGCCTCTCCCAGTCCTTACTTTGAAATTTCTTTCTGTTCTGCACTGATTCTCCTGATCTGGATTTGGTGAGCCTCTGGAGAATCCTGTTAGGAAGGCAATGGCTTTTGTCAGCAGTGTTCTCTCTCTGAAATTCCTCCCAAGACTCCCTCCAGAGAGGGATTCCTGGTTGTGTAATTCCTGTTCCCCCTGTTCTTTAGATGTAGACCCATGAGTTCCAGCCTAATTTCTTTTCCTTTTTTTTTTTTTTCCACAGCCCCTCCAGTTCTTGGAGTGTGTATATGATAATGGGGAAAGTAGTGTTGGGATAGCAGAGGGCTGTCATAAATGTTTTGGAAGATTTTCAAACAACGAGGTAACTGTAATTCACTTCCCTTATAATAAACAGTATATGCGTGTGCGCGCACACAGGTTCACACACACTGTTTACTAAGCTTTTCAGTAATTAGGATTCAGCTAGCATTTATTGAGTGCTGCTTTGTGCCAGGGACTATGCTCCATCTTTTTACATGCGTGAAGTTAATTATTCTGCGTGGCGACAGTGAGGTATAGATATGTTTTTCCCATTTTTGCAGTCGAGGAAACGGAAACTCAGAAGCCACATGACTTGCATAAGTTCATACATTTCATAATGGCAGAATTGTTAACTCCAGCCTATTTGACCCCCCCCCCCTCAGGACTCCTTCCACTATACTTTAGCTGTCACAGCACTGGAGAAAGAGGAAGTGACATCATGAAGTCAGACAAATGGCACGACTTCAGCAGGGTGGTTGATAGTTGTTTTATAGGCATTTATTTCTAAATGAAGGTTGGCCTGGTATTGTTTGCCCTTATTCCACGGGAACTTTGATTCTAAAAGGAAAGGTAAAAATGTATCAATAACTAGAAAAATACATCAAGACTTTAATACTAAATAAAGGTGAGATACCCAGGACCTGTGTATGGAGTATTAATGAGTAAGGAAATACAGTTCAAAGAGGAAAAGAAAAAGGTTATGGGCGGGCATTTAAAAAGAGACGTGGGAAGAGCACAAAGATAGAATAGGGACAAAGGAATAAGACCAGAATTGCTTTTCAACCTAGCTGAAGAATTTGTAACGCTGTATAAACAGAACACATATAAAGCAACATTTTGTAAATACAAGTTAGGAACAGAGCCCAAGCTGAGTAACTAAATTCAGAAGGAATGAAGGGGAAAGCCGTGATCAGAGGGGAGGTGGTCAGGGAATGCTTCTTGGCGGGAGATGACTTTTCATCTGTTTTTGAAGGAGTCCAGATAGACAGAAAGAGAAGAGGTGCCTAGGAAGGTTTCATGGCAAAGGGAAGACCTGAGGATGGCACCACTAACCTGTATGTTTATGTGTCTCCCTTTCTGTTCCTTTCTCCTCTTCCCTCCTGTAGCTTGGAAGCTCGAAGTCTGGCTGTGGCCATGGGAGACACGGTAGTGGAACCTGTCACCCTGAAGCCAACTTCTGAGCCCACTCCTGGTCCATCAGGGAATAACGGGGGCTCCTTGCTAAGCGTCATCACGGAGGGGGTCGGGGAACTATCAGTGATTGACCCCGAAGTGGCCCAAAAGGCCTGCCAGGAGGTGCTAGAGAAGGTCAAGCTTTTGCATGGAGGCGTGGCCGTTTCTAGCAGAGGCACTCCACTGGAGGTGGTCAATGGGGATGGTGTGGACAGTGAGATCCGCTGCCTGGATGATCCTCCTGCCCAGATAAGAGAGGAGGAAGATGAGATGGGGGTCACTGTGGCCTCGGGCACAGCCAAGGGAGCAAGAAGGCGGCGGCAGAACAACTCAGCCAAGCAGTCTTGGCTGCTGAGGCTGTTTGAGTCAAAACTATTTGACATCTCCATGGCCATTTCATACCTGTATAACTCCAAGGAGCCTGGAGTGCAAGCCTACATCGGCAATCGGCTCTTCTGCTTTCGCAATGAGGACGTGGACTTCTATCTGCCCCAGTTGCTTAACATGTACATCCACATGGATGAGGACGTAGGTGACGCCATCAAGCCCTTTTGCTCGGGGCCTACTCTTCGGACATGCACATTTCCACTCAGCGACACTCCCGTGGGACCAAGCTACGGAAGCTGATCCTCTCAGATGAGCTGAAGCCAGCTCACCGAAAGAGGGAGCTGCCCTCCTTGAGCCCAGCCCCTGACACAGGGCTGTCTCCCTCTAAAAGGACTCACCAGCGCTCTAAGTCAGATGCCACCGCCAGTATAAGTCTCAGCAGCAACCTGAAACGAACAGCCAGCAACCCCAAAGTGGAGAATGAGGATGAGGTAAAATCCCTGGGAGGGACAGAGGGGCAAGATGGCATGGAGACAGGATGTCTGACATAGGGTCACTTTGTCCTTTTCTTTCCTTCCATCTGTTTCATTTCACTGATAAAAGCATGGAATGTTAGAATGGAAAAAAACCTTAGAATTCATGTATTCCAGCTGCCTCCTTTTACAAAGGAAGAACTCAGAGACCCAGAGAGATAAAGTGACCTGTCTCAGGTCATAGAGCTAAAAGCAAGGCTGGTACACCTGACTCTGCCAATGTTGTTTTTACTAAACTGCACTGCCATTCCATTAACTCCTTACCTACTGAGAACTGTGGCAGAGACCCTCCCCACCCTGCTTGAGACCTGGGATATCTACCAGAACCTCTCAGAGCAGCAACCATGGGGAGGAGAAGGAACTATATGTGTGAATTTTGTGTGTGCTGGGCAAGGGGAGATATGAACCTCAGCCTCATTCTCCTGACCACTCCTCTTCATAATCCCTCCCTCCCACTCCCTGAAGATCCTGCTTTTTGTTTTTATAAGGGTAAGGTTCATTCCCTGTCACTGAAGCATCTGCAGAATGCCTGATACCTGCCTTTTTTTTAGGGGAAGGGATGTTGGTTGAACTTTCCCAAATCATTTAGGAGAAGCACAAAGAAAGAAGGAAGCAGTCTTGGTATAGAGTGAATCACGGACATACCCAGTGTCTAGAAAGAAGACTGAGCCACAGCAGTCGTTGTAGATGTCCATTTAGGATACAGAGTAGGGAAGAGATAAGCCCGTCAGTAGGTTATACTCACCTTCCATTCCACATCTGGACAGATACAGGGGAAGTTGCCCAGTGGACAACAAAGTGCCAGTGACCTGGTATCCCAGCCAGACAATGGTGCCCCAGTTCCCCCCTCTGACTCACCACCAGCCTAGCTCCCATCCTGGCTACCAGCCCAGCATAGAAAAGAAGGGAGAAAAGAATGAGGAATTTGCAGTTGTTGGAAAATGCATATAGCCATGGTGTTGGCATCTGCCTTTGTGGGACACATAACCCACCCACAGTTTTGATACAGTGGGACTTCTTTCAGCAAGAAGGAGGTCATAGTGACTAGGAAAGGGAAAGCACAGGAGGAAGGAGACTATAGAACTTGCTTTCTCTGGAAATTCAGTATTTTATTATGATCATTTAATAACAGGCTAAAATAGCTAACATTTATTGAGCACTTACTATGTGCATCATGTGAAGTATTGTACATTTAATCCTCACAACCACCCTAGCAGACAGATTTTTATTTTTTACCATTGAGTCAACAGGCTTAGAGAGGCTAGACGATTTGCCCAAGGTCTCTCAACTAGTGTCTGTCAGACTAGACCTCACATCACAGCTGGTACTCCTCATCATTCAGCTGATCTGTCTTGGTTATTTCTCAGCATCTGCTTTCCTAGGTTTTCAGCTGTCAGAGTCCATTTGGGGAAGAACAGCCGAGGCCTTAGCCATCTAGGTTTCCACATCCATGCATGGGCAGAGCCCACCTGTTCTCAGAACTAGAAAGGACCGTTTTAATTTCTGGTTGTACTTGGCAGGGAAGCCCAAGGCCACAAAGGGGGCTGTTACAAAGCAAGAAGAATCTTCCAGATCTGGAGAGACTAGGGTCATAAAAGGTTTGGGATTCTACCTCTTGGGGTCAAGTCTGTAGCAGTAGGAGTGTGAGCACTTGGAAGTGAACCCCAGGTGCCTCTTGCCAGGCTTGCCTTTTCTCTATGTGTTTTGTGTCCTCATCTTAGCATCAGAAAGGGTGAAGCCTCAGGGCTTTTCTTCCTCTGTGCTAATCCTTATTCTCTTTTCCTGGCATCTGACCCCTGCTCAGGTGAGATTATGGGCAGCACACTGAGATCAGGTCTTTTGTGAGAGCCTGAGTCCTCTAGTGTGGCCTCTCCAGCTGCCATTCTTCCCAGCCTGGCTTCTTTATGGTGGAACACCAGATCTAGGAAAGGAAGGAGATACTACATCCCAGCCTCCTAGGTTATCTGATGCTGGCAGGATGAGACACCCGAATCCACTGCAGCTCCTCAGGAGATGTGCGAGTGAAAGTGAGAGAGAATAAACATGAATGTCACTAGGAGTCTAAGCATTGGAATCTTCAGCACAGAGGTCTCTCCACATGCCTTTGGCATTTTTTTAAAATTATTTTATTGATTTTTTTACAGAGAGGAAGGGAGAGAGATGGAGAGTTAGAAACATCGATGAGAGAGAAACATCGATCAGCCGCCTCCTGCACATCTCCCTCTGGGGATGTGCCCGCAACCCAGGCACATGCCCCCGACCGGAATCGAACCCGGGACCTTTCAGTCCGCAGGCCGACGCTCTATCCAGTGAGCTAAACCGGTTTTGGCGCCTTTGGCATTTTGAGGATACATCTGTCAAGACCTTTGTCCCCCAAATACCAATACTTCTCCTTCTCCCCTGTCATGCAACATTTATTCACTCAACAAATAGTTATTGAGCTTGTACACTGTGTAAAGTCCTGTGCTTGAGGCAGTGGAGGATGGAAGATAAAATGCTGTCTTTCTCTCCAGGAACTTATACGGTAATATGGAGACCCCATTATCTAGGGCACTGTTTAGTTTGTGACTCTTGATTTTGTATCCTGAAACTTTACTGAATTTATTAATTTGAACAGTTTTTTGTGTGGAGTTTCTGACTCTTGAAAAGTTGTTTCCTACATATACAGAAGCTGTACACAGCTTACTAACACCAGGTGCATAACTGTCTAAGCCTAAGGTCTGAACAGAGACTCTAGATCAGTGGTTCTCAACCTTCTGGCCCTTTAAATACAATTCCTCATGTTGTGACCCAACGATAAAATTATTTTCGTTGGTACTTCATAACTGTAATGTTGCTACTGTTATGAATCGTAATGTAAATATCTGATATGCAGGATGGTCTTACGCGACCCCTGTGAAAGGGTCGTTCGACTGCCAAAGGGGTCACGACCCACAGGTTGAGAACCGCTGCCTAGATTCTGACAGTGGTTCTCAACTTTCCTAATGCCACGACCCTTTAATACAGTTCCTTATGTTGTGGTGACTCCGAACCATAAAATTTTTCGTTACTACTTCATAACTGTACTTTTGCTACTGTTATGAATAGTAATGTAAATATCTGATATGCAGGATGTATTTTCAGGGGTCGCGACCCACAGGTTGAGAACCGCTGCTAGAAGGAGACCTGACTGCTCCCATCCCTTGCTTTCCCCATAGGTTCTGAGTTTAACCCTACGCTCCTGCCACCAGGAGAGGTGCTCGGGAGGGTGAGGCCTGAGAAGGCTGCTTCTCTTCTGCATTGATCTCACGGAGACTCCTGTTTTCTTTTAAGGAGGGACAATCGGCACTCTAGCACTGCGTCCTCCCCTCGCCCATCCCCAAAGCCCACCTCTTCCAAGCAGTTGTTATCAGCCTAGTCAGGGAACTGGGCTTCGGCAGGTTCCCTTCCCATTTATAACCAACTGGTAAATCATTTAGCATAGGGAGGGGCCGAGTTATGTCCTACCCCACACCCTGCCCCACATAATGACTCGCTAGTGGATCAGCTTTGTCTTTCCAGAACTGCAACCTTTGTACAGAGAAATCTGCTGCATGTCACACTGAAAGACCCAGTGGGCCTTCCAGCCCGATAAGGTGCGGTATCAGCTTCTTGGACGCAGCTTTTCTCCTTGGAGCTGACTCAGTATGAGTGACTCAAGTGTACAGAGTAGGAGAGAGGAGTCGATCATGATATACCTCCCTTCCCCCAAGGCTGTTAATGAGTCAGACAGGGCCTGTCTGTGGGAGAATCAGCTGGATCGTTGTTCATGGAGCCAGTATCCTCCTCCCTGCTATTACTTCCCCCACCGGTGCATGGGTAGAAGTTGAACCACTAAGTCATAATAGACTGGTATCCTCACTGCCTCAGACCTCCTGCCTTGGGAGTGTTTGGCCTGGCTTCTCCCTCACAGTGCCTCTCCCCCAGATTCTTCAAGGAACAGCCTGACTACAGGACCCCCAGCCAGAATAGAACTTATCCCATGGCATTGGATTAAGTAGATGCTTGAAATGCTAATTGCAGAGTAAAAGCTCAGTGACCACTGCCCTTCTGCCCTGAGAGCTCCCAGGACTTTGTCTCTTAAGTCCAGGCCCCTCCCCTAACTGCAGGTTGTGCACAAATATTGCCCCTTCCCCCTGCTTTGGGGGAGCTTGTGGCACAGAACCCAGGATGGGCCTGTGTGTGAGCTGTAGCAGAGCCACTGAATGAGAGCTGGGCCCTGTCCCCTGTTTTGCTCATGGATCCCAGTAAGGCAGGCAAGGTTTAGGTAAACACCCTAGGCTGGGACCAGGACAGCTGCTGCTCAGCTGCTCCGCTTTCTCAGATGGAGTAAGGCAGGACCTCGCTCCCAACTTACGACAGCAAATTGTAGTTGGTTGTCACGTGAAATAGCCTGATAGCAAGCCTGTGGAGGTCTGGTAGGTAGGAAGGGTATTCATCCTTTACTCCAGCAGCATCTAGCCCAGAGGTTTCATGCTCATGGGTCTGTGATACCCCTTGTCCCATCATTTAAGGTTGGGATGAGGCTTCCTGGGTGATGCTGAGGCTGGTTAGAGAGGAGATACACCTGGCTCTGAAAGTTTAGCTTTTCTGCTTCCTCCTTGACGTTTCCAAGAAGCTAGAACACAGGATTTCCAGTGTGGGCAGTAAGGGGCCATGCAGCTTGTTAAATTCAGTCCCTCTGTGTGACCTCCACAGAGAAGGGTTTGGTTGAGAGCAGGGTTACCTCACTAAGGGTCCCAGCTTTAGGGTTTTGTCCTGGGAAGAAAGTTCCTGCAGGCAAGAAGGGAAGGGAAGAAAGTGAAAAACAGAGGCCGTTGTCTCTTCAACCTTCTGGCCCCAGGTCTGAGCTAGCCTTCCAGCGTCTCCCACAGTGCCGTAACTCTGGGCAGGCGGCATTTCTGGGTTGACTTTCTTTCATTAAAGCAGAAAGGTAGAGCTACACAAGAGAAGAGGTATGATCCAAGTTGGACCTAAATTCTTTGCCTTTGTCTCTCTCCCCTCCCTCCCTGCCCCTTTCTTCTTCCCTTGCCCTCGGCCCTTTCCCAGGAGCTCTCCTCCAGCACCGAGAGTATTGATAACTCATTCAGTTCCGTAAGTGGGGCCAGGCTGGGACTGGGTGGCAGGCTCCCCCCATGGCCGCATTTCCTCTCCGTCCCCAGGTCTTCTAAGTTCCCAGGCCAAGGCTGGCTTGAAAAGGTGCCTTTTCTTTCTGGGAGATCAGCTCCTCCCTCCCAGGCCTCGCCAGTGCCCTGAGCCCAGGCTCAGTGAAGCTCAGTGATCCTTTTCCCAGGGACAGCTGGGATGCAGTGTGACTTAGCCCCCAGCTCCCGGGTCTCTAGATCAAACAGCTGGGAGAGAGGTAGAATTTACCCCTGGATTGATGCCAACCACTGCTTGGCAGAAACCCCCAGGATCCTGTTTCTCCCACCCAGGACCCTTTCCCCATGGCTTCTGCCATCAGACCATCAAATATTTATTCAGTGTTTTCTAAATGCTAGGCCCTGTGCTGGGTGAGCTGATTCCAAAAGCAAACAGGATTTGGTCTGAAGGAAAGTTTTACCTCCTCAGTCTTTTTCTTTTTAGCTTCAACCACATTTCTTCCAGGTCTGAGTTCTCCCCTTTCCCAGCTCCCTGCCCAGGATGTTCCTTAATCACTATTCTCCTTCCTTGTTGCCTCTGGAATAACTCCTGACCTTCTGGTCCTACAGGGTCTTGGACCTTGTTCCTGGGCAGAGACGTGAGAGGAAATGCTGGACCCTCTGGGAGTTTGGATGATTTTTTTTTAACATTTTGTTTTTGATTTGTCTACCCAATCAGTTTTCTCTGTTCTGTGCTGATCCCTTTTCAATCATGATTCCTATTTCCTCCCACGTGGCAGAGCCTGTATTTGGAGGCCTGGGGTCACATTTCAAACATGCTCATGTGACGTAGGGGCCCCCAACCCAAATGCTGGTTTGAAGCTGGGAAGGAATTCTGTATCTTTAATCTGAAATGACTATGAATTGGTTGGGGTGGAGGATCCTTGGAACAGTGAGCATTTGCCACCTGAATGGGTCACTAGGGGATCAGAATGAATGAAGAAGCAAGTCTTCTTCCTTTCTTTCTCTTTCTCTGTTAGGCCCTGGAATAGTTCCAGGGACCACAGAAGCCTTGTTCTATTTTCTTCCTGAATCTCTCTTTAACCCTGCCTCACAAAGCATTCGTGACTGATCCAGACACCCTGTCGCATTATTGTGGGGCGCCAGAGGCAGCCCCTTGCGGGGTAGAGGCTGAGAGATGAGCTGTTCCTTTGAACCTGGCTCTGCACAAGTGCAGAGGTGGGCCGGGTCCTGCTCAGCTTCCAAAAGAAGCTCTTTTTTGCAGTTTGAGGGAGTGAGGGTAGACATTCTCAATCAGGAAACTAAGCAAGACACAGAGAGGGAGAGAAAAGTCTGGTGAGTGAAATACTGTTTCTGTGAACAGAGGAGATACTGTTCTTATCTAGCTGAGGGGAGACGAGGTTGGGAGCTGGGTGGCTACTTGATAAAATGCCCTTACGATAGGAGGACTTAGGGAAAAGAGCCCCTCTTCATGCCTAGCTTAGTCCACCCCACCTCACCCCCCAGACTGACTGCCCTTTCTGGGGATGACTGAAGTGCCCGCATGCGGAGCCAAGCCCACAACAGGGAGCAAATCTGGGGACCCTCATCCTGAGAAGGAGGGGAAGAGGACCCAAGGAGGAATCACAGAAAAGAGACAGGCCTTCAGGGCCATTGTTGAGGAGTGAAGGGAGCTATTGCTTTCCCCAACTTCCTGCCCACACCAGTCTCCCTCCATCTGCTTTTTCTTTCCACATTGATCATCCCCTAATCCCAAATCTGCTCATCCTCTTCTCATCCCCTGCATGCGCATTGACCTGTAAGAAATCGTGGGGTAGGCGGGGATGCCATGTAAAGCAACAGAAGTCATTTGAATGGAGTGAGTCCTCCTTTGAAAGGGGAGCTATTGACTTGGAGCTCCCCTCCTTAGCCTTGTGGGCTGGGGCTCTACCAGGGATCCAGGTGGGGAGAGGGACACCCTCATTCTCAAGGTGGGTGAAGCACTTTAGGTATAAGCAGCTCTTCGCTCTGGAGTCCCGTAACCCCCACCCATCTTGAAGCCTTGGGACAGTTCCTGAGGAACTCGGGTCCAGAGAGGAGTGCGTCCCAGAGACCGGATTCACACTCCTTTACCCTCAGTAAACAGCTCGTGGGAAGGAATGTGCTGGCTCTTTTACCTGTTCCCAACTCAGTTTGCCAGCGGTGGGTGGAATCTACTAGGCTGAGAGGTAGCTCCTTCCCTGGGGTTCTCCAGACAGATCCCTGGCCGGCACGGCCAGGAGTGATCGAGTGGGAGGGCCACTTTTTGCTATGGTTTCTTTACCGTCTTTTACTTCACCCCATCCCTCTATAGCCTGTCAGACTAGCTCCTGAGCGAGAATTCATCAAGTCCTTGATGGCGATCGGCAAGCGGTTGGCCACGCTCCCCACTAAGGAGCAGAAAACACAGCGGCTGATCTCAGAGCTCTCCCTGCTTAACCATAAGCTCCCTGCCCGAGTCTGGCTGCCCACTGCTGGCTTTGACCACCACGTGGTCCGCGTGCCCCACACCCAGGCTGTTGTCCTCAACTCCAAGGACAAGGTAGGTGGGCTCCACTTCATGGTTGTTCAGGGTTTGTGTCTATGCCTAGAGATGCCCGACCAGCATCCTAGACTCCTTCCTGGTTCGTGTGCACGTGTCCACCTTAACTTTACTCGTGGTGGTGATTCTGAGGCCCTCTTGTTCCCTGCTTGGGCTTTGTTTCTCTGGAACACAGAGGCCTGCTCTCTCCAGCTCACCTCTTGCCATGTCTCAGGAGAGTCACTCTCCACCTCTCTGTAGCCCTCTGTAACTCGTTGGCTTTCCAGATATAGCAACATTAGAGAAATATTTTGTTTCTAAGACTTTTTCTGAACAGAGGGGGCAAGGAGAAGGAGAGATTATGCCTTATTTACATTGGAGAGAATTAGCTAAGTTTATCTGCTGGTTGGAATAATATTAAAGGTTCAGGTTTTTCTTTTAGAAGTAGTGAAGATAGAGCCCTGCTTGATTGACACACTGTCCCGCTCTTTCCTGGTCTTTGTGTCTTTAGGACAAGCCCCGAGAGGCTTCCACACCTCTCTGATGGTTGTAATTGATAGTTTGGAATGGTTTGCCCAACTGCATCATCTACACATTTTGAAACTCAGCTGAACCGTTTGAAGACTTGGGTGCACTCTCTCACCCAAATTCTTTATATAGGTGTTCATAGGACAAGTTCCTCCCCAATATGGCATTCACAGAGTCAGGGGACTGATGATTGCGGGTTGAAGCTAGGAGCAGGCAGCAGGAAGAACTGTGTTAACAGAGTTGCGATTTGGGGGACAGTGGTGCAGGTGAATTGCAAATACTGTCCTCACTTTCTCCCAGGCTCCCTACCTGATCTATGTGGAAGTCCTTGAATGTGAAAACTTCGACACCACCAATGTCCCCGCCCGGATCCCTGAGAACCGAATCCGGAGCACACGGTCCGTAGAGAACCTGCCCGAATGCGGCATCACCCATGAGCAGCGGGCAGGCAGCTTTAGTACTGTGCCCAACTATGACAACGATGATGAGGCCTGGTCTGTGGACGACATAGGCGAGCTGCAGGTGGAGGTGAGGGAATTCACAGAGGTAATACTGGGGCACAACACCTATTCTCCAGGAGCTTCTGGTGTATTTGAGACAAGACAACACCCTGAGGCAGGCGCACAAATAAGGGGCAAGTAGTGTTGTGTATGAAAGGGGAAAGCTCTGAACAGCTCTAGTCTGGAGCAGATTCAGGTAGAGCTCATTTTCCAGCAGGAGTGTAGGTTAAATGTAAGGAGGAACTTCTAAGCTGAGGAAAGAGAAAGAAATTTAATCAAAATATTTATTGAACACCTGCTATATAAACTTGTTTTAGAAAAGCAGAATGGTAAATTATACATTCGTTCATTCACTGAAGAACTGTTTATGGAGGGCCTTCTTTGTGCCAGCCCTGAATGCCGTGTGCTAGTGAACAAGACCGGCCCCTGCCTGCAAGGAGCTTCTGACCTAACTGGAGAGAGTAGAAGACTGGCCAGTAGTGTGGTGTGACCCAGGTTATGCTGGAAAGGATGGGGAATTATGAGAGCACTTGATGGTGGGGGTAGCACTTACTCCAGACTTGGGGTTAGACATACCCCAAAAGATTTCCTCAAGGAAGTAATATCTCAGTTGAGGCCTAAGGATGGGTTTGAGCTTCTTGTTTGCAAGCCAGCTGATACGGTAGCAACCAAAGATTCCAGTGTTTGAGCATATGAAAGACTGCCTGCTTACCTGTGCTAGAAATAACAGCATCTAAAGTGAAGACAAGAAAAACTTAGTGACTACTAGATTATCCTTAGGACTCTGCATTAACTCTATAATGTTCTTGGTTTTAAAAAAAAAAAGCATATTTGTCACAGAAATTTAGTTAACATCTTAAAACTGAGTATGTATGTATGTTGCTTAGATAAATGTAATCACTGTAAACATCTATATGATCTGGGATTTTGTTTTTATTTTGAAATGGGAGCTTTTTTGTTTACAAGTTCATTAAAAACTAAAAACTGTTAATAAATAAATAAAGATGGGTTTGAATTACCTATTCAGACAGAGGGGTTAGCACATGCAATGACTGGAAGACGAGAGAGCTTGGCTCGTCTTAGGACCTGGAAGAAATTTTGTGTGATGTGTGAAGTGGTGACAAGTGAGGCTAGAGAGGCCAGCATGGGCCAGATTGGAGGCAGGATCCTGGAAGCTGTGGGAAGGAACCTAAACTTTATTCTGGGTTGTATGGAGCCGGGGAAGGATTTTATGTAGGGTTGTGACACAACTTTGGGGAAAGACAAGCTGTCCTAGAGCTTACAGTCCAGTTGAGGAGATTGGACACAGACATTTAAGATCACAAGGCTGTGTACAATAAGTGATGAATGGAGTTGAGGAGAAATTCTCTGGTACAGAGGGAAAAAGAAAGGAAGGGACTTGATAGTCAGAGGGAGAAGGGGAGGTTAGATTGAAGAAATGGTCCTGGACCCTAGTCTGGAGAGTCTGTTCTGGACCTTAAGGGAGAATAGTAAATACATCCCTGGCCTTGGGAGCTCTCAGTGTAAGACTGAAAGTTCTGCCTGGCCGGTGTGACTCAGCAGGTGAGCATCGACCCATGAATTAGGTCACAGTTTGATTCCCAGTAGGGGTAGGGTTGTGGGCTTGATCCCCAATAGGGGCGTGCAGGAGGCAGCTGATTGATGATTCTCATCACTGATGTTTCTATCCCTCTACCTCTCCCTTCCTCTCTCTGAAATCAATTAAAAAAAAAAAAGTTCAGCCTTCTGTGATGGTCATAGCAGTTGTTTGCAAACTTGAGTGTGCTGGGAGTCTTTCAGAGAATTTGTTAAAAATTCAGACTTCCAGCCTGGCTGGAATGGCTCAGTTGGTTGGAGCATCATCCTGTATACAAAAAAGGTTGCAGGTTCTATTTCCAGTCAGGGCACACACCTGGGTTGCGGGTTCAATCCCTAATCAGAACACACATGGAATCGATGTTTCTCTCTCACATCAATGCTACTCTCTTTCTCTCCCTGTCCCTCTCTCTCTCTTCCTTCCTCTCTCTAAGCAGGTCCTTGAGTGAGGATTAAAAAAAAATTCAGATTTCCAGATCCATTCCCAGTAATTTTAATCTAGATTGATGGTTCCATATGGGAATATGGTTTTAGTAGCATTCAGATGTTTGAGAAACACCACTGAAGGACCTATGTGAGTGCCTTGGCAGTTTGGGGTCCGAGTGATCAGGATGATATGTAACCAGGGGAGGGTTTTTGGAGCAGACTTAGGAAGAGGGGAATGATCATAATCTGCAGATAGAAAACACTCCAGGTGATCTGTGGAGGAGGTGAAAGAAGCGAGACCTGTGCCTAGCGCTTCTGACCTACCATCTCCTGCTCTCCCCAGCTCCCTGAAGTGCACACCAACAGCTGTGACAACATCTCCCAGTTCTCTGTGGACAGCATCACCAGCCAGGAGAGCAAGGAGCCTGTGTTCATTGCAGCAGGGGACATCCGGTATGGCCAGACCACACTGCCTCTCATTTTTCATCCCTCTTTAAGGCTCTGCCTGTCTCTTTCTCCTCTTCTGTCAGCCTGTCTTTCCCTTTCCTCTCTCTTTACTCTGTCCTTGTTCTGAGGCCACCAAACTTGAGGCAGTGAAGGGGCAGGTGGAGAAATTACTAGGCTACTACAGAAAGAAATTAAATGTTAAAAGGACTCCAAAGGGATGAAAGCAACAGAGGGAGGAATTAAAGCAGCGTTTCTCAGAGTGGGTCCAAGGATTCACGTGTCAGAATCGGAGAGATCTTGTTGAAAATGCAGATGCTGGAGCCACAGCTGTTTTGAACCAGAATCTTGGTAGAGGAATGGGAGGGCCTGGTGATCATCATGATTCCAAACCATCAGGTTAGCAAAAAGGTATCAGTGGTGTGTGTCCTCCACGAGTCTCTCAGCCCAGGTTTCTCTCTGTGCCTAGAATCAAGGAAATAGTGCAGGCAGTGCTGCCACAGACAGGGACATGAGGCTCTGGGGTAACTCCTCCAAGTAAATGATATACTTTCTTCCTGCTAGACGGCGCCTTTCGGAGCAGCTGGCTCACACCCCCACAGCCTTCAAACGAGACCCAGAAGACCCTTCTGCAGTTGCTCTCAAAGAGCCCTGGCAGGAGAAAGTGCGGTGAGTTGGGTGGGAGGCAGCTGTCTCCAGACCTCTCAAAGCTTGGAGACAACTGCAGGAACTCACTGCACCATCACAGTGTCCACTGGGCTCCCCCCAAATCCATCATGCCCCCAGGCAGCCCCAGTCCTTGCCTTATGGGGAGTTGGATTTGGATTTTTGGTAGAAGCTGTCTCTGTCATCACCTCTTGACACCTTTTGCTTCTTTTTATGCAGGCGGATCAGAGAGGGGTCTCCCTATGGCCATCTCCCCAATTGGCGGCTCCTGTCAGTCATTGTCAAGTGCGGGGATGATCTTCGGCAGGAGCTGCTGGCCTTTCAGGTGCTGAAACAGCTGCAGGTAAGACAGGGAGAAGGAAGGGGAGTCAGCTCACTGCAGCCCACCTGAGGGGACCACACAGGTTGTTCAAAGGAACTCTGCTGAGGACAGCTTCCTGCTCAGTTCTAAACTGGATGTAGATTAAACTAAAGCTGGTGCTTTCTTCCCTATTGTACTCCCCCTGCAAGTATAGCCACAGAACACAGCTCCATAGCAACCTCTTGTGGCCCTTTTGTGATTTGCACCCGTTCTGATTCCCGAGCTTCAGGGTGCTGGCTTTGTCCTTTAGTCAGAAACTCCCAAGTGAAAAACTCATAGCCACAGGCAGCAGTACGGTGATTGCCAGAGAGAAAGAGGGATGGGCGGAAGTAGAAGAGGTTACAGGGGGATAAATTATGATGGAAGGAGACTTGACTTTGGGTGTGAACACACAGTACAATATACAGTTGATATATTACGGAATTACACCTGAAACCTATATAATTTTATAAACCATTGTCCCAGACTTGGTGGCCTTTCAGTCCATCAAGTGAGTAAAACCCATTGAGGATGAGGGAGTTTTTAAAGAAAACCTATATAATTTTATTAGCCAATAAATTCAATAAAATGAATAAATAAAAACTCCCATCTGGTCTTTGTAAATGGGTTGCCGTGTGCTGCGATGTCAGTCCCCTGAGCCTCTAGGTTGGTCACCTGCCAGCAGCTTCACCTGTTTAATCCAGTTCTTTATACAAATATTTTCATTTTCTCGAGACGCTTTCTGTGGACCTAAATCCTTTTCCCTGTTCCTTGAATTTGAATTAATAGCTCCCACTCTCGCTGCTTGGGGGTTTCCTGTTCTGCCTTCTGGGGACTACCTACCTATGAGCTGCCTTTCCCCATATCCTCCCTGTGTCTTGTCAGAACCTGGATTTTCTTTGAAAACTCCCTGGTGCTCAGTGGGTTTTACTCACTTGATGGACTAGAATCCAAGGCCACCAGGGCCGGGAGCTTCCAAGGTTAGGGATCGAGGGCTTTCACCCCTCCCCCAACTTGAATGAAAGATGATGGTCCTGTGTCTCCTCACAGTCCATTTGGGAACAGGAGCGAGTGCCGCTGTGGATCAAGCCATACAAGATTCTTGTGATTTCGGCTGACAGTGGCATGATTGAACCAGTGGTCAACGCTGTGTCCATCCACCAGGTGAAGAAACAGTCACAGCTCTCCTTGCTCGATTACTTCCTTCAGGAGCATGGCAGTTACACCACTGAGGCATTCCTCAGTGCCCAGCGCAATTTCGTGCAAAGTTGCGCTGGCTACTGCTTGGTCTGCTACCTGCTGCAAGTCAAGGACAGGTAGGTAAATTCCTGACGCTCATCCTAACCTTTTTTCCAGGGTTATCTCTGTCCCTTCACGTGTAGTTTTCGTATACTCACCACCACCTTCCACTGCCAAGACGTAAAAGATGAGACAAACATGTTTTAAGCAGAGACAGACATGTTCACGTGCCATTAAGCCAAAGAGACAGACTGACAAGTACTGGGGTAAAGGAGTGAGATCTGAAGGATTTATGGGGAGAAGCAAGGGTTTGAATAAGCAGGCTCTTAAAGGATGAAGGAGAATGAGGGCAGAGGAAGCTGTGGGGAAGGACACAGAGTTCCACAGGAAGAAGTCAGTGTGAGTAACACTTGGGCTCCTGGCTCTGACCAGGGAGCTCAGTTGGTTAGAGTGTTGTCCCAATACTCCAAGGTTGTGGGTTCGATCCCCAGTCAGAGCACATACAAGAATCAACCAATGAATCCTCTCTCCCCCTACCCCCTTTCTCTCCTCTTCTCTCTCTAGAATCAATAAATAACAAAAATTACAAATTTTAAGAAAAGTTTGGGCTCTGCAGCCTGGCAGGAGAATAGTAGGCAGCGATGTCAGACAGGGGAGCAGAGGCTAGACTAGAAGCACCTGCACAGTGAGGCTGAGGGATTGTACTTGGCAGGTGAGGAATGGCCTGACCCAGTCTTGGTTTACTGAGTGCACCCTGTGGTACTGAGTGAGGTTAGGTCTAGTTAGGCCTTTAAGCAACAAAGCAGGAGGTAATGAGTCCTGACCCGAGGGAGGTGGTAGTGACTGAGAGCAGAAAGGAGAAGATAGATATGAGAGGCATGGTGGAGACAGAGTTGAAACTCCCAACCCTAAAATCTCCTTTTATTCCAACATACAATTTTCAGAACGTTTAAGTATTTATTGCTTTCCCCAGAGCTGCCCTTTCCAATATCACATGACCGTTCTGAGGCCCAGCCTCCCACATAGGTGAACAACACAGCATACAAAAATAATTCCACCCAGATGTGACTCAGGGTGTGCATCCTGAATGCTCCTGTGAGTTGCACCTCATGGGCATGGGCAGCTGCCCTAGGAAGGCAGAAATACAGTCGCCTGAGCTTTCAGAGCTCCCGGACATAGTAGCACTTTAGGATCTAGCCAGCGGTGCAGCTTGTCAGAAAGCTAGCATCTATTACTAGTAAGTGCATGCTGCAGCCTGACGGGCTTTGTTGAAACCAGCTGAAAACACTGTCAGACAGGTGTTTCCTACGAGGGGACTGGCGGTCAGAGCTTTCAGAACCTGTGCTCACTCCATCTGGTCAGCCCTACAGATGAGTCCCATGGAGGCTTTCCATTTGAGGGCTGAAGGAACATGTAATTGTTTATATGGAATTTGTTTACGAGCTTTAGACCAGTGGTTCTCAATCTTAGCTGCACATTAGAATCACCTGGGAATCTTTTTAAAATCCTGATTTCTGGGCCTCATCCTCCGGAAATTCTGTTTCTTTGTTATGGGGTGGGGCCACAACATTAGTAACTTTAGACTGTCCCCAAGAGTCAGGGTTTTGAATTGAGGGCACAGCCCAGAACTGAGCTGCAGGCTTGAGTAAATGGGGGCAGGGAAGCAGGTGCTGGTCAGGCCTGTGGCTTTCCTTCAGGAAGATATTTGGAAAGTCAGAGTTCATCCTTTAAGAAAGGGGGAGAGGGGAACAGGCAGCTGAGAAACCTTTAATAGTAACTCAAAAAAGAAGAGATGTAGTCAAGCCCTGACTGGAATCAGCCAGTGGAAAGAACTGGCAACACTGCCCAGGGCCCCGCAGTGGAAGCAGGTTAGATCTTTAACTGCTTCAGAACGAGGGCCCAGCCATCTCCCGCTGTTAGAGACCCCCTCACTGCCCGGGACCTTCTCTCAAGGTGTTTCCTCACCTGTAAAATGAGAGGTGGGGCTAAGACAGTGAGAATCTTTGTGGCTAAATTTGTAGTGCTTCCCGGAGTAGACAGGACTGAGGTGGGACTGGCTCTCTTTCTGTCCCTCCTTCTTGGCCACTCAGACCAACCCTGGAGAAGGTGGCCTCAGACCCGGAGCTCAGCCTAACAAAGCCTCTGTTGACACTGAGGCTGGTTATCCTGAATGGGCCAGGCCTCACATGTTTAGCATGTTCATTGTTCCTCCTCCTGCTGGTTATTCATGTCGGGGTCACAGACCTGGACTCATCTTTACTCTCTCCTTCCTGCAGCTGGCTCATCATTTCTTACTGGGGTGACTGATCAGGTAGTTAGAACTTGCCCTTGAAGCCCCCACATTATTTTACATTTAAACTCTTCCCAGCCTGCCACTCCCTTCTGGTGGGGCTCACAGGTAAAATGTTCTGATTGAGGCCCCTGAGCCAACTGCTTGGCCTCTGTGACAGCTGGTGGGAGCCTCAGAGGCTTTCTTCCCTTGCTTCTGGGCTTTCTACTAGGTTGGGATCAGTTTGGGTGATAGAATTACAATCTTAAACTATTAAGTTGTCAGTAAAAGCGACTTCAGACCCCACAGCCTGTTAACAGCTTACGTGCCCCATTTCCCGTTTCTGTTGCTGCTTTAGGCCGCAGGTTAGACTGAGTTATAGGCAGCAGGAAACATGGCAGGGGACTTCCCCGCCCGGTGTCATGTGGCCAGTGTTTCAGCTTGAGGCTGCCACCTCACACTGACTTATCCTGCCTCTTCCTCTCCTTTGCCCTCCTCAGACACAATGGGAACATCCTTTTGGACGCAGAGGGCCACATCATCCACATTGACTTCGGTTTCATCCTGTCCAGCTCTCCCCGAAACCTGGGCTTTGAGACGTCAGCCTTTAAGCTGACCACAGAGTTTGTGGACGTGAGTCAGGAAGGAGAGGTGCCTCACTGTGTTCTTTCTCTGTCATGGGAGGGGGAGCTAGTGGGCTCCCCCCAAATTACGGACAAACAGAACAGAAATGGCAGTAAGTCAGGGTGAGGCTGGTGTCCTGGGAGGCTTCCTGCCTGCTGAGAGAGTTGGGAAGTAGTGGGGTTTGGCATGTTTGCCCTAATGGAGGGAGTTCTGGCTGGGGGTACGCTGAGCCCTTATACCTACAACTTTCTCCTCCCCTCACAGGTCATGGGCGGCCTGGATGGTGACATGTTCAACTACTACAAGATGCTGATGCTACAGGGGCTGATTGCTGCTCGGAAACACATGGACAAGGTGGTGCAGATCGTGGAGATCATGCAGCAAGGTGGGGCTGGGGCGAGGCAGGTGTGGGGACGGGCTGTGCCCAGCATGGAATTTCTAGGAAGTACATTCTACCTCAAGACACCAGGCAGGCAGAGGTTCCCAGCTCTGACCCAGTACCGTTTCTCCTTCGGGACATGCCTCCTGACAGAGCTAGGTCCTGAGGATGGACGGGCTGAGGCCCCAGAAACTACCTCCTCAGAGGGAAGAGTCTCAGCTCCAGCCTCTTGGTCCCTCCCACCACTCAGCTCTTCACCAGCTCAGGTGTTTCCAGGCACCACTTTCCTCCCCGCTGGGCTTTGACCTCCAGTTGCCCTGTCCTCAGGCCCCTTCTTTGTCCTGATACTCATCCCTCCTGCTCTGAGTTGAGTAGTTCCTCACCTGTCACCTATCCATTCTCACTGTCCTATCCTCACTGCGTCATCTAGTCTTTTGTCCCTTTACCCCACTCCTTAGGGGTGCAGTATACACCCATTCTGAGCAGCCAGTCTCCTCCTCCTCCTCCCCACCCCACCCTCACCCCACAGGTTGTCGCCGTTGCTCAGGAGCACCCCTGTCTGGCCCCATGACGACGGTGGCCCAGGTCATCTGTGAGTGTCAGACGTAGCATAGGCAGAGCCCTGCAAACCAGATAAGTGCCCAGCTCAGGGCCCATTCCCCAGGACCTTTTCCCAGCCTGCCTCTGGGTCCTAAGACTCTGCCCACTCAGCTATTACTGGGGGAGATGTGGTGTTGGCCCCCTGCCCTCTTCTACCCTCATGCTCTCACCTATAGAGGGGTTTTGGAGCGTGGCATGAGGATGGGTGCCAGCAGAATTGCATCCACATGCTCAGGGGTCTCTAAGGTCTTGCTGTGGCTGTTACCACTGGCCCTCCCTCCTTTCCATCCGTGACCCTCTGCCCTTCCTGCCCACCCCCAGGTTCTCAGCTCCCTTGCTTCCACGGCTCCAGCACCATCCGCAACCTCAAGGAGAGGTTCCACATGAGCATGACCGAGGAGCAACTGCAGCTGCTGGTGGAGCAGATGGTGGACGGCAGCATGCGGTCCATCACCACCAAGCTCTACGATGGCTTCCAGTACCTCACCAACGGCATCATGTGACACCCTCTCAGGCCCCATGGGAAATGGAAGGCAAGAAATACAAAGGATCATGTGGTGACTGGAGAGCTTGCCAGGGGAGAGCCAGCTGTGGGGTCCAGGCTTGCTGGGGATGCCCTGCCCCCTGCGGTGTCAGTATTACCACCTGAGGGACCCCAGGACTAACTGCCCCCCAGAGGAGAGAGGTGACAAATGTGAGGCCGCTGGGCCTTTCTTCTCGACAGGGTCCAAGAGGTTCTTTCCACAGGCATCTTCTTAGTCTGTTCTGGGTCCCAGGAAGGGGAGAGTGGGTTCTTGGTACTTACAATTCGATCCTGTGGTCCACCTTTGGCCATGCTGCTGCCTGACTGTTCCTCCCAGGACTGACTCCTAGCCTGAGGTCCCCTTGGCATGTGGGCTCTAGCACAGGGTCCTGCCCTTGCTGAGTCCCCATCACAGAGACCAGGAGGGTTCTCACAACCCCTCGCCTACTGAGGGAACTGGCCTAGCCACAGGGAATTCCTTGCCCTGATCCCTTCCCACATCCAGGGAAATAGCTCTCAATTTTTTAATTTTTGTTTGAAATAAAGTCCTTAGTTAGCCATGTGTCATTTCTGAGTTGTATTTTTTGGGGGGTGGGGGTGAATGTAAGCGAATAGATGTACCACACAGAACAAGGTGGAGGAAGACTGCATTTTCCCTACCTGTCTCCGTCAGTACCACTTTTCCCAGAGAAAGGACTCCCTAGATTGGACTCATTCCCTCCTCCATCAAGTAAGTCTACATTGTCCAAGTCACATCAAAAAGAGCCTGAATGGGGATTAAACCACAAGCAGTTTTAATGGTCTGGGTTCTCCTTCCCATCTCCCCCCGTTAGTATTATTACTACAAGAATAAAGGATTCCTGAGAGCCTGTCCCCAACTCTCCCTGGGCCCCCTTGACAGGACTCATCCCTACCAACCCCCCTGGATTTCTGGGGGTGGGGGGAAAACAAGTGAAAGGCACTGTAGGGATGGGGGGCTTGAGTGCCAGGGAATGTAAGGGGTGGTGCTAGGGCAGGGCCAGGCCTGAAGTCCGCCTGCAGGGGCTGTGGAGTGTGACTGCCGACACTGGTCTCTCCTTGGACCTGTCTAGCAGGCCTAGAAGTCCCGTCCTCCCGGTCCCATGCGGGCTGCAGCAGGAGCATAATTAGTGTTGGGCTAAGAAAGGAAGAATGGAGGGCCCCCTCTACTAGGATCCAAGGGCCAAACCCACAGTGGGGACTGCAAGTAACTATAATGCTCAAGTCTTGTCTCTGGGGGCCAAGAGGAGGAGTTGAACAAAATGTGAATTATATGAAACTCCCCAACCTGGGGACCAGGCAGCAGCAGTGACCCAGGCTCCCAGGGAAGAGGGAGGGGGCCAGTCAGTCCAGGTCTGGGGCTAGTTGTCACCACTGACTCCTTGCCGAGCCCTGATGAACGCCATGCCGTGTGTGCGGAAATGGGTCTTGAGGTTGAGAGGGCTGTCACAATTCTTGCCACAGACTTTACAGGTCAGTGGACCTGCAGAAGTAGGCAAGGGTGAATCTGCACCCTCTGGATCAGACCTCAATTGAGGGGGCGCCTCTTCCTCCCCATCCCCCACACCCAGGGCACTGGCACTACCCACACCCCATTTCTTCTTGTGGCTGATGAAGCGGTGCCGGCTCAGGGAGCCAGGGGAGGCAAAGCATAAGCCACAGTCGAGGCACTGCTGGGTCCCACCATCAACCCTCAGCCCCACCATGAGGCTCTGCTCCACTGAGCCCCCGCTCCGGTAGCGCAGGGGGCCTCCCGACCCGGGTCCACCCCTGGGGGACTTGGCTGGAGGTGTGGTGCTGTCAGGCTCCTCACTGCAAGAGTCAGAGGACTGCCGACGCTTCCGTCCTGGCCCCTGGAGAAGATAGTGAAGAACTGGGCCTCCCCATCACCCCAGTAACCCTGGCACCCCCACCTAGCTTGCGGAGGCCAGTCTATAACTCTGCAGTGCCCACACCTCTAACCCAGCAGGGGGGCTTACCTGGGCTCTGGCACCGGCGCCCCGAACCACAACACTCCCCCGGCCAGGAGACTGGTCCCCGAGCGGCAAGCCGTGCCGCACCTGGACGTGTTTCTCCAGGATGAGGCGGCTGCTGAAGGTGCGTTTTCCTTCCGTGCAATACCTAGAGGGGAGAGTGTGCGGGTGGGTGCCAAGGGCACAGCCCAAAGACCAAGGCCAGTGGCTCGAGAGGAGGAGGACTACAGAGCTTCAACCCTTAGTCACGTGCACAGAGGCAGCTGGGAAAATGCTTTGGGGGACCAGGAAGGGGCAGGGAATGGGAGGGGTCACCTGATGGGCAGAATCAGGAAGGGGTAAGAAGAAAAGGGTTACCTGCATGGGTAAACTCGCTTGATACCCTCATGATTGACCCTGACGTGGCGCCTCAGGCTGGGCGCAGAACAGAAGGATCGCTCACACAGGCGACAGGGAAACTTTTTCACTGACTAGGAGAGCAGGAGAGGAACCTCAGAGCCAGGCTTGCAGGACCGAGCCCCACTGCCACACAGGACAACCCCAAGGCTGCCCCTCCGGCCCATCTTGCTCACCTTGCCATGCTCCTTCTTCATGTGAGCCACATACTCATCCCGCTCCGGGAACCAGGAGTGACAAAGGCCACAGGTCCAGCCTCCAGGGCCCCCGCCCCCACCCTTGGTGCCTTTGTTCCCTAGATCCCGCCGGGGCCGTTTGGGTGGACAAGGAGGCTCTGGGGAGCTGGGTGGGTCCTCTTCTGTAGAGGAAGACAGCTCCTCTATAGGGGGAGCTGCTCCTCCCGGAGACACAGCCAGCTCCTCGGGCTCAGCTTTAGGGGTCAGAAGAGTATCCCCGGCCCCTTTCCCAGCAGTCTCCTCTCCCGAGCGACCAGACTGATGGGTGTTCTGTGAGAGGGAGACAAGGGGGATGGTGGCTGTGGGGAGAGCGTGGCTTTGCCAGTCCTTGTTTCCCGCCCCCCTCTTCCTGAAGGTTATGTGACCCTTAACACAGCCGAGCAACCCCACTCCAGCCCTTGACTCCTTTACCTTGAGATGATCCAGCATGGTCCTTTTTTGGGCAAAAAGCAGAGGACAAGACGGGCACTTGAAGACACTGACGCGCTGGGGCAGCAAGTGCTGGTCGAAGTGTGAGGAGAGGAGGGGCTTGTGAGTGAAGACCGTGTCACACATGGCGCACTTGTAGATCATCCTGTGCAGGCGGAGAGGACAGTGCAGACACCTGCCCCTTCAGGGCCTAACCCGCCCTGGCCCAGCCCTCATCACCCCATCCCCGATCTCACTTGGCCTGCTGCGTGGGGAAGCTGGGATGCTGGGTGTAGAGGTGGGCGTTGGCGCTGGGTGCAGACTTGAAGGCCATGGGGCAGATGGGGCACTTGTGGAAAACCTCGCAGTGTGACGTCTGGATGTGGGACTTGATGGAGTTCACACCCCCAAACACCACTGCACAGCTGGGGCACCTTTAGGGAGGACATGGGAGGCGTGGTGATGAGGTGGGCCATCTCCATGCCCTCCCCACCCCACACTCAACCTCAAGGACGGGGTGGACTTTGAGAAACTAATCGGTGGTGAAGCCTGAGCCAGGTGGGGGCAGGAGGGAGCTGCAGAGACAATCCCCCGGGAGGCCCACTGAGGCAGAGCTGGAGCTGCAGAGGGGGCGCTGCTCTGTGTTTGCCAGGACACCAGGGCCATGGGACTGAGCAGGAAAGATGGGGCTCTCTCGAGGCCATCTGAAAGGCTGGTGCTAGGAACCATGAGACCTGCAAGGGCATGAGGGAGTGTGGAGATACTATGGGAAGGAGAGGCACCTGTATCCTACACGGCGAGAGAAGTGCAGACAGGCCTCCCGGAGATGGGTCTGAAAATTCGCCTGCAGGAAGTTGCCCCCACACTCAGGGCAGACGTGGGGAGGTCGGTTCTTATGCATGCGCTGGTGGGCACTGAAGCTGCAGCGATTGGGGAGCATCATGGGGCAGGTTGGGCACACCTGTCAAAAGGGTGAAACAAGGTGAGTCCGGGAGGGGAGGCTTGCCCCCCATTACTTCTCCTAACCAAGCCCCTCGCACCTTCCCACGTGCTATCCCCTGGCTGTCCCCTTTCCCAGGAAGGGCAGTGAAAGGCAACTCACATTGCTGGTGGCCCCGGGGGCAGGGGGCCCAAGCTGCTGGAAGTGGGCAGCCATGCCAGCCTTGTCCCGGCACTGCTCCTTGCACTCCAGGCAGCGAAAGCACGTGTAAGCAGAGGTGGCAGGGGCAGCAGGTGGCTCAGCCGAGAGCGGCAGCACAGGGGCCTCAGCAGCAACCGTAGAAATGGCGAAGGTGGCAATGGCCCCATCACCCTTGCCCAAGGCAGATAAGACCGGAGGTCCGAGGGCAGATGGGACAGCCAGCAGGGGCGTGATGTCCGGCTGCCCCACCATCTGGTCCAGGGCTACAGGCCTCATGACCAGGTGTGAGCACTGCATGACAAGCCCCTTGTCCTTGTGCTCCCGGGCATGCAGCAGCAGGCTGCACTTGTTGAAGAAGACCAGGCGGCGGGCACAGTGGTTGCAGGTGACTTCGATGCGCATGCTCCGGCGGTCATAGTGCCGCGCCAGGCTCTTCTCCAGTGAGAAGGCATCCCCACACTCGAGGCAGCGATAGCCCGTTGGAGGCAGGGCCAGCCCGGCCTCAGCAGGTGGACTCAGGTTCGGCCGGTAGGCAGGCAGCAGGTTCTTGCCGTTGAGGATCTTGTTGAAGGCCTCCACCAGGCTGGACTGGGTCCGTGAGATCACTGTGCCGCCCCCGGCACCTGGCACGGTGGTCGGCTTGGAAGGCTGCACTATCACCACCGAGGCACCGTTCACCTTCTGTCCCCCTATTCCCAGCCCTATCCGCCCCTCGACCTTGGGCAGGGCTTGGGGCACCAGTCCCAGCACATTCTTAGCAATTGTCTTAGGGCTGGTGCCAGTGCCCCCAGGCAGAACTACCGCTTTGCGGGCCACGCTGGCCGCCATCAGCATGGCAGTGCTTGCGTTCTGGAAGGTGGCCACAGGCAGCACTGTGCCCTTCAGCCTCGTGCCGTCACCCAAATGCACGTTCACCACTTTCGGACTCTCAGGAGTCAGAACCGCGGAGGAAAGCTTTAGGAGGTTAGCCTCGGCTAGAAAGGTCCCCTCGGCCAAGGGGGCAGGGGGACCAGGGTCTGAAGGGACCCGGGTTACAGTCCTTGTGATATTCCCACAGGATGTCTTAATGGTCTTGATCCGCACCTTGAGGGGCCTGGAAGAGTTGGAGGAAGCGGGGGAGTCATTGCTGTCCTCGTCAGCAGCCTCAGCTCCACTAGAAGGGCTCTGGGGACTTGCTGGGGGAGACTTGTCCACTGGCCCCTGATCCTCTTCTTCCTCCTTTAGGGGCTGACAGCTGGGCACTTTGGGGGAGGCAAGAGGGCTCTGATGCCCTGGAGATTGCTTGAAGAAGGGCATCCCAGCAACCTGGGGAGGTGAGGGGCTGGCAGGGATGCCTGCGGCCTCAGGGCTAGAGCCCGAGTCTAGCCGGGCTATGCCCTGGGGATGAAGG